GGGGGGTGCTGCAGGGTTTTGAGGGGGGGCTTGACGCCGCCACGACCCTCCCCAGGGGTGAACATGATGCTGCGGAAGATCGCGGTGGCGGCGGCCTCGAAGCCGGCGGGGGAGATCAAGCAGGACGGGGAGAGCTTCTACATCCGCACCTGCACCACCGTGCGCACCACCGAGATCAGCTTCCGCGTGGGCGAGGAGTTCGAGGAGCAGACGGTGGACGGGCGGCCCTGCAAGGTGCGGGGCGCGGGGGCACGGGCGCGCACGCTTGTGCACGTGTGTGCACGCTTGTGCACGTGTGTGCGTGCACACGCGCCGTTTTGCAAGCACACGCCTTTTGCACGAGGGCAGGAGCACTGGTGTGTAAGTGTGCACACGTGTGCATGCACACGGATGAATGGGTGTGCAGAATTGTGCACACGCATGGTTTTGCATGCACACGTGTGGTTTTGCAAGCACACGGCTTTTGCACGAGGGCAGGAGCACTGGTGTGTAAGTGTGCACACGTGTGCATGCACACGGATGAATGGGTGTGCAGAATTGTGCACACGCATGGTTTTGCATGCACACGTGTGGTTTTGCAAGCACACGGCTTTTGCACGAGGGCAGGAGCACTGGTGTGTAGGCATGCAAGCATGTGCATGCACATGGGTGACCGGGTGTGCAGAATTGTGCCCGTGCACGCATGCACACGCGCGGTTTTGCAAGCACACGGCTTTTGCACAGGGGCAGGAGCACTCGTGTGCATGCACAGGGTCGCACAGGTGCGCAGGCTTGTGCACATGCTTGCATGCACACGTGTTTTTGCATGCACACGCCTTTTGCACGAGGGCAGGAGCACTCTGCGTGTGCACACATGTGCAACCCACTCATGCACGTGCATGCACAAGCGTGTTTCTGCGTGCACACACCTTTTGCAGGATGCCACGAGCACTCGTGTAGGCGCGTGCACGGATGTGCATGCACGGAGCTGCGTGTGCGCGCACGCTTGTGCACACGTGTGCATGCACACGCAGGTTTCTGCAGGCACACAGCTTTGGCGTGAGGGCAGGAGCAGCTCACGCGTGTGCGTGCACAGGGCTGCCTGCGTCTTGCACGCCTGCACACGTGTGTGAGTGCACACGCCTTCTGCACGAGGGCAGGAGCACGCGGCCGTGCACGCACCGGCTTGCACGCGTGCACACTTTTGTCCCCGCACGCACGTTTTGCACGCACGCACTCGCCTTTGCACG